GGACATAAAGGAAATAGGTTATAAAGAAAGGAGCAAATATAGAAATATAAAATCTAAATTAAACTTTTACAACATTAACCCTTAGATGCATAAGTGGGTATCTGTTGACCCGGTGAGGTGGTTTTCTTGAAGTATCTTTGTAATTACATTTTTTTATCATTTCATATTCCAGCTATTCCTCAAAAAACATGTTTTGGATATCATGCCATTCACATTTTTAAATCTAAATTGTATACATTTTAAGAAATTGTAGTTTTTGTATTACTACCCCAAGCTTCCATACTATGGAATGCCATTTAAGCCAAAATTAAATAAATAAATACATACATAAATAATTAAATAAATACATATATATATAAATATGCCTATGAAATAAATTCTGAAATAAATAAATGAGGCAATAAATATGTATACATGTACATTTAATGATACATTTATTTATTTCAAGAGACTTTTATTTCATAATGACACATTTATTTATTTCAAGAGACTTGTATTTCATAATGACACATTTATTTATTTCAGAATGTATTTCATAGGCATATTTATATATATATGTATTTATTTAATTATTTATGTATTTATTTATTTATTTAATTTAGGCTTAAATGGTATTCCATAAGTGTATGGTCCAGTCACTCGGGCATCGAAGGGTTAACAAGTTGAATGACATTTTTACCGATAATATAAGTGTAAAGGTTTTATTACGTTTCAGAATAATGTATATATTATTGGTATTTAATTATTATTATTATTAGCTAATAGCTTAAATGTGTTTTTGTTAGCCATGTAAAAGGATTAGTCTTTATTTAAACCAAAAATGTAATCTGATTAATTTAAAATAAAAATAGTTTTTATGTTGCTGTTTTATCTACTTCCGGTTTGCATGTCAACGTGTGACGTGTTACGTTGTTGTCCGTTGGTCAGTCACTCATGTCAGTTTGTGCGCGTGCGGCTCTACGCTGAGATATGAGTCCGTTAAAACTCTGTCTTAAAATGTTCATCAAAGTTATAAAAGTAAATTAAAACGTAATATAACTGTTGTATTGTAGTGCCGAGAGAAGGGAGTCGGAGGCGGTGCATCGAAGGTGCAAATCTGTACTTTAATGAGCAGCAGAAATGCACATGCTGTCGGATCGCAGCCCGAGAAGAGAAGAGAAAGCGAAAGCGAAAGGGACACACACACAGTAGGTACCCCGGAGGTACCGTCAACATATATGTCCGTGCGGAAACAATACCCCCAACCTGTAGTTCCTGGATTGAATTATGTAACCCCGTTAATTAGTGATCACTACACAAGCCCCCCCAGAATTCAACCATGGACACAATCCTCGCGTCCGGAGGAAGCACCACAGGGGCCGAGGAGGGCGGGGCCGCCGGCGAGGGCCGGGCCATGGAACGGGCCGTCGGAAGGGGGCCGCAGGAGAGGGTAGGGGCCCCAACGAGGGCATCCCCACCGGAGGGTGGGGGGCGGGCCGCAGAAGAGGGTAGGGGCCCCCAACGAGGGCGAGGGCATCCCCACCGGAGGGTGGGGGGCGGGCCGGAACGGGCCGTCGTCAGGGGGCCGCAGAAAGCAGGGTCGCCGTGTTGCAACGTGGGGACAGGCGTGAACATCCCGGCGGTCCCCCAGCAGGGAGGAGCGCTGCCCGGCCGCAGGCGAAGGCACAGCGGCGACGGGCACTAAGTCCTCGGGGGAGGAAGGAGCCGTGTCCCCGGGAGGAGGGAGCCGTGGACAGGAGAGAGGCCAGACGGGGGCGCCGTCCGAAGCCGCCGTCGAGGCGAACCGTGAGCCGCGGTTAGAGGAGAGGCCAGGGCAGGGTCCGGGAGCGCACCACCCACGGGCCGAAAAGAAGGCCGCGGGGCGACGTCCCGAAGCCGCCGTCGAGGTGGTGAAAAAGCGAGAGGGTCCACACGAGGCCGACCAGACATGGTCGAACCTCCTCTCAGGCACCAGAAAAAGCTCAAAAGGGTCGTCCCATCCACGAACAAAAACAGGTGGGCGAAAATGCGAGAGGATCCACACAAGGCCGACCAGACTTGATCGAACCTCCTCTCAGGCACCACAAAAAACAAAACAAAAAAAACAGTCGGATGTCGACAGCCGCTAGCTGTCGTGGCTAGCCGTCGTTAGCCGTTGGTAGCTGCTAGCCGTTCTCGGCGGCCGTCAGTCGCTGGCCGGACATGCAGCCGCATGTCCCGAATAAACCCGGCACGGTCGTGTATCGGCTCCATGGAAGGCTTGCTGTCCCCCAGAGCCGAAAAGCCGTGGAAATGGCGAGCGTCGTCCACGGCCATTCCGGAGGGCGCACCGAGCCACAGTCCGTGTGCACGTGGCAGCCACGGACGTCTCCAAAAATCTCCGGCATTTCGAGAAAAACAGAGTCTGCTTTTTGCCGTGTTCGGTCCAGTCTCGGAACCTTCGCGAGACTTATGTCAGGGTCACCAATGTAGTGCCGAGAGAAGGGAGTCGGAGGCGGTGCATCGAAGGTGCAAATCTGTACTTTAATGAGCAGCAGAAATGCACATGCTGTCGGGTCGCAGCCCGAGAAGAGAAGAGAAAGCGAAAGGGACACACACACAGTAGGTACCCCGGAGGTACCGTCAACATATATGTCCGTGCGGAAACAATACCCCCAACCTGTAGTTCCTGGATTGAATTATGTAACCCCGTTAATTAGTGATCACTACAGTATCTAGTTTTTTATATATCAACTTGATTCTGTGTGAGTCCTGTTCATATCTGAGATCAATAAGTTCATTTGTTCTATGATTTTATATTTAGGCTAATTTTGAATGTCCCCAGCTATCTAACCGACCAACGGCCGTTTATAAAACGGTTATTCGTTAAATACTTTGTTGGGTAAAAGTAGAATTACTCAGATCTTGTACTTGAGTAAAAGTAGAAGTACTCAGATCTTGTACTTGAGTAAAAGTAGAAGTACTCAGATCTTGTACTTGAGTAAAAGTAGAAGTACTCAGGTCTTGTACTTGAGTAAAAGTAGAAGTACTCAGATCTTCTACTTGAGTAGAAGTATTCAGGTCTTGTACTTGAGTAAAAGTACTCAGATCTTGTACTTGAGTAAAAGTACTCAGATCTTGTAGTAAAAGTAGAAGTACTCAGATCTTGTAGTAAAAGTAGAAGTACTCAGATCGTGTACTTGAGTAAAAGTAGAAGTACCAGAGTGTAGGAATACTCTGTTACAGTAAAAGTCCTTCATTCAAAATGTTCTTCAAGTAAAAGTAGAAAAGTATTCTCATCAAAATATAGTGAAAGTAGCGACAGTAAAAGTAGTCATTGTGCAGATTGGTCCATTTCAGAATAATATATATGATATGTTTTATAATGATTGATCATGAAAGTGTTCTCAAAGCTGGTAAGGTGCAGCTAGTTTGAATGACTTTGTATACTGCAGGGTAGCTTGTGAATTTACTCCAGGTGGAACTAAAGTCTGATTTAACACTTGATTATATTTCACATCATTCATCCAGATCTGTGAAGTAACTAAAGGTAATAAATACATGTAGTGGAGTCAAAGTACACAGTAGCATGACATTGAAATACTCAAGTAAAGTACAAGTACCTCAACCTTGTACTTATCCATCTAATAATAATAAATAATTTAAACTCTTCTCACCACAAGGTGTCGCCCTCCCCAGTTCTGCCTCCTCCCTGTTTATTGAACCCAGAACACATCGCTCCACTAATCACCATAAAGATGTCTTTTAAAGCTCAAAAGCAAAGAGGGCTCACTAACCAATTTAAAAAAACGTACTAAAGGCTAAAAAAAACATTATCATCACCAAATGTAACTCCTTTTTAAGCAGTAAAGAAAGTCTCTACTGGTTCACATGAATACCTGCAGTGAGTAAACAAAGAATAGACTAACAGATAACATGGTTGTTGATGTGGTTGTGTATCTGATGGAGGAACATCATCTAGGGTTCTCCATTCATCTCCTTTGTTTTACAAAGTTGACTAAAGCTCTCAAAACTCAATGAAAGTGTGGATCAGCAGTTTGATATGTTCACATGCTACTGTGGAGGATATCATGAGGCCTGGAGGCCATCACATGTGAAACACAATATTTAATTATGATTGATGTAAATCAGTCAGATTTGACCCGAACACGACAGGACGGTTAAAAAACACGAGTCCCAACGAGTGCCAAGTGTCCCACAGAGACAACACACTGATCACACACATCCATGCAGAGCAGGAGGAAGAGGACATGAAGCTGCTGCAGCTCTCCTCAGCCTTTGATGAAGGCGAGGGGATTGGGATCACCTGAGAGAGGCTCACCTGGGGACAGACAGTTAGGGGAAGAGACACACAGTAACACAGGGCTCAGAGAAACCACCTGTCAATCATTAGCTGCTGCTTTCAGGAAGAGAGAGAGTACAGCTCTCATTCCTGTTGAGGGTTGAAGTAGAAACAGAGCTGAAACAAAGTGAAAAACAGCGTCAGGTGTTCAAACATCAACACAGGTGTTACATTTCTCTGGTAGAAGCACTGCTCAGCGTTCACAGATCGGATGTTTCAGACGCTCTCTGACTCTCTTTCTGCTTTGCTTTCATTCATTATTGCTTTCATTTCAAACGCTGAGGTCAGATATGGAAACTCTTGTGTTTTATGATATAGTTTGTCCTGATAGAAGGCCTGATGTGTGCAGAGAGCTGTACTGAACCACAACACCTTCACATACGTACACATACAGAACATCATTCAATGGATATGGACTTGGTAGTGGACATCTCCTCCAAGAACCTGATGCTTTGATAGCACACAGGTCTGTGTCAAATAACAGACTCTCACATGACTCACTCTAAAGCCAATGGCACACAGAACAGTGAGACCCTACTGCCCCCCCCCCCAGACTGCAGAGTGTCTGATCTTTAGTTTCACTTTCGATACACAACCTGAGTGAGGCAGATTCACCGAGCAACAAGTGACGCGACGCTCAGACTGAATTCTCATTGGCTCAGACGGAGCTGGTGTTACCTCCTTCTGTGTGTCTCTCTCATTGACATCCCGCTCTGCAGAAAGGACGGCTGTGTTTCTGTGGATAAAGAACCTTTCACACAGAAAGCCTCGTGAGATCAAGATGAAGATGAAGATGTTGCTGTTTCTGCTTCTCCTGGGAATAGTAGGCCCACGCTGCACATCTGCACGTGAGTCTTTTGATTCTTTACGTTGGAAAATAAGAAGTGCTTCATGTGTTTATGGGCTGTGTGAGTTTAAAGTGTGATAGTCTTAAATGGTGGTAAATGGTGTACTTCTACTCCACTACATGTATTTAATACCTTTAGTTACTTTACAGATGTGGATGAACGATGTGAAATATAATCAAGTGTTAAATCAGACTTTAGTTCCACCTGGAGTAAATTCACAAGCTACCCTGCAGTATACAAAGTCATTCAAACTAGCTGCACCTTTACCAGCTTTGAGAACACTTTCATGATCAATCATTATAAAACATATCATATATATTATTCTGAAATGGACCAATCTGCACAATGACTACTTTTACTGTCACTACTTTCACTATATTTTGATGATAATACTTTTCTACTTTTACTTGAGGGACATTTTGAATGCAGGACTTTTAGTGAAACAGAGTATTCCTACACTCTGGTACTTCTACTTTTACTAAAGTACATGATCTGAGTACTTCTACTCTTACTAAAGTACATGATCTGAGTACTTCTACTCTTACTAAAGTACAAGATCTGAGTACTTCTACTTTTACTCAAGTACATGATCTGAGTACTTCTACTTTTACTCAAGTACATGATCTGAGTACTTCTACTCTTACTAAAGTACATGATCTGAGTACTTCTACTCTTACTAAGTACATGATCTGAGTACTTCTACTCTTACTAAAGTACATGATCTGAGTACTTCTACTCTTACTAAAGTACATGCTCTGAGTACTTCTACTCTTACTACAGTACATGATCTGAGTACTTCTACTCTTACTAAAGTACATGATCTGAGTAACTTCTACTCTTACTAAAGTACATGATCTGAGTACTTCTACTCTTACTAAAGTACATGCTCTGAGTACTTCTACTCTTACTACAGTACATGATCTGAGTACTTCTACTCTTACTAAAGTACATGATCTGAGTACTTCTTCTCTTACTAAAGTACATGATCTGAGTACTTCTACTCTTACTAAAGTACATGATCTGAGTACTTCTACCTCCTCTGGGGACCATGTAATATGTAAGCAAAGCTCCCACTGGTTAATGGTGTCTGTGAAATGATAGAACACCTTTGAATATATAGTATTGATCAGGTTTGATGATGAGATCTTCCAGTCTTGAAACACATCACCCTCACACCTCTCTGCTGTGGAGCTCTATCCTTTCATTTCTTAAAGTCACAAGATGGCGTTGTTTTCCTTCTTTGGTTCAAGGCTTTTATTGGTGATAGTACATAGCTACAGTGTAGTTATGATGATGAAAATCATAGGTCACAGGCTCCTCCAACAGAGCAACACAATAACACAGAAAAATAGTAAAATAGTTATTTATAAATTATCTTTATTTCCCTTTAACTTATTGTGCACGCTATATTGTTTTATATTAGATTCAACTTTGTTGTCATTGCACAGAGTACATGTACTAAGACAACGAAATACAGTTAGCATCAAACCAAAAGTGCAGAACAAGTAGTAAAGTGCAGAGTGATGTGTAGTATAATATATATATATATATATATGAGGATATAAACAAAGTGAAGTATTTACACTATGAACAGTATAAGGAGGTATACACATTATGAATACTCTATAGATCAGGTATAAATACACACAGTGTAATACAGACTCAATACACAATAAATATGAATATATATTATAGACCGTTATTGACATTTAAAATGATATTAATACATATGAGTTGTCCATATCAAACCTAGTTGTTTTCTAAATGCAGAGAAGTGGACGTAAGTGAGAAAGTCCCTGAGTATCCAGGGGTTTGGTTTCTGACTGAAGAGCAAACAGCAGAAGAAGAAATCATATAGAACCTGCTCCCTGTCATTGCACATGAAGAAGAGAGAGATAGATCTCTGGGAAGCAAATCACAATTCAACGAGGTCAACATCAATATCAAGTTCCTGTTGTTGTTGTTTACATGTCTGCTTGACTGTAGTACTGCATACTGAGAGAACATCACACTGATACTGACATGTACTGAGAGAACTATATGATGCTGTTTAGTAGATCCATCAATCAGGAGCTGCTGTTAGTTCTGGATATTCATGTATTACAGATATATGTATTCATGTATTACAGATATATGTATTCATGTATTACAGATATATGTATTCATGTATCACAGATATATGTATTCATGTATTACAGATATATATATTCATGTTTTACAGATATATGTATTCATGTATTACAGATATATGTATTCATGTATTACAGATATATATATTCATGTATTACAGATATATGTATTCATGTATTACAGATATATGTATTCATGTTTACAGATATATGTATTCATGTTTACAGATATATGTATTCATGTTTACAGATATATGTATTCATGTATTACAGATATATGTATTCATGTATTACAGATATATGTATTCATGTATTACAGATATATGCATGGGCGTCGCAACCATTATATGAGGGTGGGACAAGTCCCCCCCACTTTTTCAAATGATTAGTTTGGACCCCCCCCACTTTTACTATGCGGAAAGTCCGTGAATCGGTCTATCCACTCGCCGCTCTTTGCAGAGCGCTGCAGTGCTTCACTATCAAATGAAATCCATTCCACTTGCTTATTGAGAGAATGCCCAAATCAATGAAACTCCGTACCATGTTTTCACTGCTACTTTGTACCAAGGCAGATTCTCACATAGCGCGCGCATGTTCAAGGAGTGATGTCATAGTTGGACAGCTCAGATTCTGTTGTATGAAGGATGCCGGTAGCGGAGGTAAGGCACACACACCAAATGTTCAGGAAATGGTTTAATACAGCGAAAATCAAAGCTGACTATCTCTTGGTTTGATATGTTTTCTCCCCCAGACAACATGGACATAAGAACATTTTTTGCAAAGAAGAGGAAAGTAAGTCATCAGCTGGTAGCAGTTAATCAGTTAACACTGTTAACTTAACAGTGATGGCGGTTGGTGGCGGCAAATGCGTCTCACTTCTGGAGAGGAGTTTCGTCTTTATGTCATGATAGAGAAATACAAATACTGAATAGTTTAGATAAGAAAAGGCATCGAAATGCGAGGTTACTAGTATTTATCATGTAAACAGGGAACATGAATAACCCGATCTCTCTGCTCATGTAAACACATCATAACCGGGATAATACTCTTAAACGGCTTACTGATGTCCATGTAGAGACGCAGTCAGTGTGTTTTACTGGAGCCTCAGTTCGATACGAGATTATTTTCTGAGTTCTTTAATTTAGGTACTCTCTCTCAAAATGGTAATGTGCATTATGTTTTAATTATACTTCTTATCATTCAGAAGCTTTTTGTGTGTGTTTATGTTTTACTGAGTGCTTATAGGCTATTTCCATCCCAGTATTCAGTTAACTATTTATTTTCTGTGCACATTACATAGACTAGCTAATATTCTACCTACTGCTTGGGACTTTTGAGTCTTCAAAATGTCCAATGTCACAGACTGGGACTTACTTTAGAGTCAGTTGTATTTACATTCAGTATGACTTGTTATGATTCAATGTGAAAGAGTATACTGCTCAATAAATAATTATCAGTTCACCACCTCTCTTGACATCTAGGCACTTGAGAGTGAGTCAGAGGCAGAATACAGGGACAGTGGAGAGAGGTCCATTGCTGAGGTGAGTGATGAAAGGGAAATGACAGTTGAGAGTAAATTGTGATGTGGACTCTCATCCCAGGATTTTAAGGAAATCAGTGGGAATATTGAACAGGAAACATTTCAGTCAAGGGGCATCATATGACCAATATAGACAGAAGAGCAACATTTATTTGAACATTTAAGTCAATGATACCATTCCTAGGTGAACTTAACATCCGTATGGAGTCAGATCAGTCTCAATATTAATAAATGCTCACAGAAGGATTCACAAATGTATTTTGCGATTTATATATAAATGACTCTCCACAACAATATCTCTCAATGCACTCACAAATATTTATTGTTGTATATAAATGTACAAAAAAATGGGCATTTAAACTGCTTTTTATTAATTCAAAGACGGCTCTGAATTAATAATCAACTATGTTTCCTTTCTTTACTACTGAAATTACAAAATGTACCCATCATTTTCCTCATGCTAGTATAGCCACATAAAAGTATCAAACCACCTGTTAAAATGCACCAGAATACAAGAAATCTATATTTTTTTTCGCCCCAACACCCCCCGTTAAAAATGTCCCCCCCACATTCAGGATGCTTCCTACGCCCATGGATATATGTATTCATGTATTACAGATACACGTATTCATGTATTACAGATATATGTATTACAGATATATGTATTCATGTATTACAGATACATGTATTCATGTATTACAGATATATGTATTCATGTATTACAGATATATGTATTCATGTTTACAGATATATGTATTCATGTATTACAGATATATGTATTCATGTATTACAGATATATGTATTCATGTTTACAGATATATGTATTCATGTATTACAGATATATGTATTCATGTATTACAGATATATGTATTCATGTATTACAGATATATGTATTCATGTATTACAGATATATGTATTCATGTATTACAGATATATGTATTCATGTATCACAGATATATGTATTCATGTATTACAGATATATGTATTCATGTATTACAGATATATTTATTCATGTATTACAGATATATGTATTCATGTATTACAGATATATGTATTCATGTATTACAGATATATGTATTCATGTATCACAGATATATGTATTCATGTATTACAGATATATGTATTCATGTATTACAGATATATTTATTCATGTATTACAGATATATGTATTCATGTATTACAGATATATGTATTCATGTATCACAGATATATGTATTCATGCAGGTGGATGAGCAGAAAGGCCACGCTCTGAGAGATTCAGGGTTTCTCTGACACTTTGAACAAACACTTTATTTCAAACTGAAACGTCCCGCTCCGATCAAAATAAATAACGGCTGATCAAATATCTTTGATCCAGCAAATATTTGAAGTTTTAACAGAGAGTTAGATTTGTGGGTACTTGCTGAATCTTTGATTATCTTAAATAGTGGGAGTTGAACTTGAATATAATATTTCACATCAAGAGATGTGTCAGAGAGAGACTGGATCAGAGCTTTGGTATTCCTGATGGTTTTATAACATCATTAAAAAGTATTTTCCAAACCTCAGGAAGAAGAAATAAATGATCTGATAAAGACTGTAAACTTCAAATGATGCTTAAAAAACTAAACTGGAGTTTCTCTTCTGATTAAGAAATGATGCCTGTTTCCTATCAACGACATTCAGGTCCTCTCACGCAGGATTTACACATTTATTAATAATAATAATCATTTCAAACTCTTCTGGAACATAAATGTGTCTTTACTTTTGTTTCTGTTTTAATATAATGCACAAACAGATGATTTGATGTCTTGGCTGTGATTTTGTGCAGAAAGAGAACAGTTTATTTATAACGACTGAAGTTATTACTTTATTATTCTCTCTCAGGGACTCACTCTCTGAAGTATTTCTACACTGCGTCCTCTGGAGTCCCAAACTTCCCAGAGTTTGTGATTGTTGGGTTGGTTGATGAAGTTGAGATGGTGCACTACGACAGCAACACCAAGAGAGCAGAACCCAAACAGGACTGGATGAACAACATCACAGAAGAGGATCCTCAGTACTGGGAGAGGGAGACTCAGATCTCTCTGGGTCAACAGCAGGGCTTCATAAACAACATTGAAGTTGCAAAGCAGCGCTTCAACCAAACTGGAGGTTAGTTCATGTTTCACCTTCTACTGATAATATGTTGTTTATATCTTCATCCTGTACACACAGCAACATCCCTGCTGCTTTCTGAAAGGATGGAGCAGGAGCCACTAACGCTGAGAATTCATTCATTCATGCATTCATTCATTCATTCATTCATTCTGCAAAGCAGAAGCCTAAGAGATCTTAAGAGAAGAGCGAGGGAAGAGAAGATAGCGAGAGATAGAGAGAGCGATCGAGACGCTCGCGTCTACTCTCGTAGGTGCTCCTAGTATGTCTCTTCTCTCTCTCGATCAATCCTCTAGTCTCTCCCTCGCTTAGTCTACTCTCACTCATCTCTCCTCTCTCTCTCTATCTATCTCTCTCTCTCTCTCTCTCTCTCAGGTGTCCACATTAACCAGAGGATGTACGGCTGTGATTGGGATGATGAGACTGGTGAGGTCAAAGGTTATGAACACTTTGGTTTTGATGGAGAAGACTTCCTGATACTGGACCTGGAGACAGAGTCATACATCGCTCCAAGACCACAGGCTGTCCTCACCAAACAGAGGTGGGAGAAGAACAAAGGTTTGATGGCCCAGAACAAGAACTACTTCACCAAGGAGTGTCCTGAGTATCTGAAGAAGTATGTGAACCTTGGGAGGAGCTCTCTGATGAGAACAGGTAGAGTCACATGACCTGATGGAGTTTCATAAACACCTCCATGTTCATGTCTCCTGTGTTTCTGACATTACAACACATGTCTCACTCTGTGTCTCACTCTGTGTCTCACTCTGTGTCTCACTCTCTGTCTCACTCTGTGTCTCACTCTGTGTCTCACTCTCTGTCTCACTCTGTGTCTCACTCTGTGTCTCACTCTCTGTCTCACTCTGTGTCTCACTGTGTCTCACTCTGTGTCTCACTCTGTGTCTCACACTGTGTCTCACTGTGTCTCACTCTGCGTCTCACTCTGTGTCTCACTCTGTGTCTCACTCTGTGTCTCACTCTGTGTCTCACTCTGTGTCTCTCACTCTCTGTCTCACTGTGTCTCACTCTGAGTCTCACACTGTGTCTCACTGTGTCTCACTCTGCGTCTCACTCTGTGTCTCACTCTGAGTCTCACACTGTGTCTCACTCTGCGTCTCACTCTCTGTCTCACTCTCTGTCTCACTCTGTCTCACTCTCTGTCTCACTCTGTCTCACTCTGTGTCTCACTCTGAGTCTCACACTGTGTCTCACTCTGCGTCTCACTCTCTGTCTCACTCTGTCTCACTCTGTGTCTCACTGTGTTTTTTTTCTTTTTACCAGTTTTCTGTCTTTCAATGTAACATTTTGCAATTGCATTTTGTTAAAGAAAAGTTATTATTATGGGATATGGAGACAGAAAACACCATTTAGGATTTAAAACCGAAATACTCATTTAAAAAAACTGGAACTACAAAATGTTTGGCATATTTCTTTAATAAGGAACTTAAACTGTTATTTTATAATCAGATGTGTTGGAATTAACTTTCTTTTGATCAACTATTCAGTGAATGGTACTATAGCACTACACAGTGCAGTGGAGATAAATCAAACTTAATATTCTTGTCGATATAGATGAAGTAATGACTATTTTTCAGATAAATAAATGAATTGTTTTCACATTTAAATGTCAAGAAATAGAAAAAGATCTTAATTTCCAAAAGTCTAAGAGGAAATATTCAACGTGCTTCTTTAATCTGAACAACACTAAACAGTATTTGATATTAAATTATATAAAACTGAGAAGAAAGTCTTTATTTAACCAATTTCTCTGAAACACTGACTCTGTGTTCTCCTTCAGTGATGCTCACAGTACATCATAACTCCCTGTAGTGATATCACTGTGAGTCAATAACCTCTAAAGTGTGTTTGTGCAGAGATCCCCTCAGTGTCTCTGCTCCAGAAGTCCCCCTCCTCTCCAGTCAGCTGCCACGCTACAGGTTTCTACCCGGACAGAGCCCTCATGTTCTGGACCAGAGACGGAGAGGAGCTTCACGACAACGTGGACCACGGAGAGATCCTGCCCAACCACGACGGATCCTTCCAGATGAGCGTGGACCTGGACGTCTCCTCATTCCCCGCTGAACACTGGGACAAGTACCGATGTGTGTTCCAGCTCTCTGGGGTGAAGGAGGACCACGTCATCGTACTGGACTCAGCTGTGATCAGGACCAACAGAGGTAAGACTGCATCACAACGGCTCAACGGTTACTAACAATCAACAGACCCTGACAACATGTCATAGTCTCTCTCTCCTGAAACATGGGTCTCAGGAGAGAGAGACTAAGAATGGTTCAAGACAAACCCAGCATGACACCACGAGGAGAAAGGGGCCCTTCAGGAGCCTCAGACCTGATGCCCATCCTGAAGAAGCTTCCTTCCTCCGTTCAGATTGAGACTTCCTGTTGTTTCTGCTCCACAGGGAATCCCCTCCTCCTCCTCCTCATCATCGGTGCTGCAGTGGCTGCTCTCGCTCTCCTCATCGCTGGGATTGTATTCCTGGTTTACAGGAAGAGGAACGGTGAGAGACCAATCAGAAACCTTGTCTCATGAGTTCTCAGGGTTGTTAATGTAAGGCTTTGAGGTAGCAGATCAAACTCAGAGCTCAGTGTAATGTGGATATGGAAAGCACTTGGTGTGTTTTCTACAGGGATGATCAGTGTGGTCTAGTTCCTTGTTGTGTACGGGACGGTGGATTGAAACACTTTCTCTGCTTTTCCTTTCAGCCAATAAAAACCCTCCCTCTCCTGCCTCCAGCTCTGAGCTCACTGAGAGACTGAACCAGCCATCAGAGTGAGGGGCTTCACATCAACTCTCCACCTGTTGCTACAGAGCTCTTTCTCTGCTCTCAAACCTCTCCAGCTGCAGCTTTAGAGTTCAAACCCTTCTGCAGAGTGACCTCAGAAAGGCACGATGCTTTCAGAAACACAAATATTAGAAAGATCAATGACATCAGTTCAATAAAATAGTGTAACACCGATTAGAAACATTCACCTGTAGATCAGAAGCAGATCAGAGAAGTGACTCATGTTCTGTTCTGTGTCTTTAGGGTTATGCATCAGGGGGCGCTGCCACCACATTCTCCCCGTAAACTGTTCATTATTCATCATCTGATCAATAACTGATCACCTGATCAATAACTGATCATCTGATCAATAACTGATCATATTAGAGTTTGGAAATCAAGCAATAGCTCATTGATTGGAAAACAGAGGAATCATGTTATTTGGATCATTTGGGTTTCACACACACTCACACACACACACACACACACACACACACACACACACACACACACACACACACAGGTAGCAGCGAGTGATATTGATTTCCCTTTCTGAGCTTTTCTAAATGAATCAGAAGTGTCTTTATTTATAACATGTCTCTTGAATTGGTTTTAAAACATAATAGTGTGTGATTTTGATAATGTTGCTATGATTTAGGGACAGGGAGGTTTTGTGTACAGAGCCAGCGGACTGTGACGTTCTCTTTAGTTTGGGGTTCAGAGGTGAACGTGACATGAAGTCGCTCTGCATTGTTAACCCTTTCCTGTCCGTGTTTCACTTTCCAATAAAAACCCATCTCCCAAATGTCCGTCTTCTCGTCTTTCCATCAACACATGTATTGGTTTCTACTAGCGTCTCAGACACTAGAGGAAAGTGGATTTGATGTGAAACTAAAGATCCAATGGTTTACTGCTTTCTAAAAAGAAACAAATGGAAATGTTCTCTAATGGAGGAACATGTAACAAAATAAAGTAACTCTGAGTGATGTATTGATCTCTGTAATGTGTGTGTTATCAGTGTGTGTCGCTGCACTCAGCTGTTCTCAGAGCTCCTGCTTCAGAAACCTGTTGAGGTGAAATCTGCCCGGCAACTGATGACGTTACCATGACGACTGGGAATAATACAGTTCTGTGTTGTTAGGAACATTTAGTGAGGCTCAAACATTACCTTTGGGTTTCCATTGATCTGAAGTCATTTCCATCAGAGACACTTTCACTTACAAACTCAATCACATTTAGAAACCTGTCAATACTTCCTTTAGTTACCTTTTCATATTGATCACCTTTATTTACCTTTTCATATTGATCACCTTTATTTTACCTTTTCATATTGATCACCTTTAGTTACCTTTTCATATTGATCACCTTTATTTACCTTTCCATATTGATCACCTTTATTTACCTTTCCATATTGATCACCTTTATTTACCTTTCCATATTGATCACCTTTATTTACCTTTTCATATTGATCACCTTTATTTACCTTTTCATATTGATCACCTTTATTTACCTTTTCATATTGATCACCTTTATTTACCTTTCCATATTGATCACCTTTATTTACCTTTTCATATTGATCACCTTTATTTACCTTTTCATATTGATCACCTTTATTTACCTTTCCATATTGATCACCTTTATTCACCTTTCCATATTGATCACCTTTATTTACCTTTCCATATTGATCACCTTTATTTACCTTTTCATATTGATCACCTTCATTTACCTTTTCATATTGATCACCTTCATTTACCTTTCCATATTGATCACCTTTATTCACCTTTCCATATTGATCACCTTTATTTACCTTTCCATATTGATCACCTTTATTTACCTTTCCATATTGATCACCTTTATTCACCTTTCCATATTGATCACCTTTATTTACCTTTTCATATTGATCACCTTTATTTACCTTTTCATATTGATCACCTTTATTTACCTTTTCATATTGATCACCTTCATTTACCTTTTCATATTGATCACCTTTATTTACCTTTTCATATTGATCACCTTTATTTACCTTTTCATATTGATCACCTTTATTTACCTTTTCATATTGATCACCTTTATTTACCTTTTCATATTGATCACCTTTATTTCCCTTTCCATATTGATCACCTTCATTTACCTTTTTATATTGATCACCTTTATTTACCTTTCCATATTGATCACCTTCATTTACCTTTTCATATTGATCACCGTTATTTGCCTCCTCTTTTCATATTGATCACCTTTCATTTCATTTCATTTCAAACCTTTATTTAACCAGATTGGTCCCATTGAGATCATAGATCTCTTTTTCTCTGTCATCATCCTTTTGGACCTGTCTGCTGCATTCGACACAGTGAACCATCAGATCCTCCTTCGCACTCTCCAAGAACTTGGAGTTTCAGGCTCTGCACTTTCCCTCCTCACCTCATACCTCAAAGACCGCACCTACAGGGTAACTTGGAGAGGGTCCGAGTCCGACCCTTGACAATTATCTACAGGGGTCCCTCAGGGGTCTGTCCTCGGTCCCCTCCTCTTCTCTCTGTACACAAACTCGCTCGGATCAGTCATTAGACCGCATGGTTTTTCATGCTCGCTGCACCCACACTGCGAGGTGGACCCAAGTTCCCATCAGCGTGGGTTTGCTATCCTGGCTCCAAAATGGTGGAATGAGCTCCCCATTGACATCAGGACAGCAGAAAGCTTACATATCTTCCGGCGCAGACTGAAAACTCATCTCTTTCGAATCCACTTTGAGCGATAGAATGACTAACTAAGCACTTATATACTAACTAAGGACTGGCTTATCTAAAGCCAGTTGAGTAGCACTTGAAATGTTTTAGCTCTATGAAACATGATGTACTTATATGATTCTGTTTTCTTCAAGTTTGTATCTTCTTGGTCGAATGCACTTATTGTAAGTCGCTTTGGATAAAAGCGTCAGATAAATGTATTGTAATGTAATGAAAATCAAGCAGATCAAAGTTCACGTCTATCAAATATATTGCTCATAAATATGGTTTTATTTCTGAGATAACAGAAAGCAGGAAATGAGGTTTGGCACACCCTGCGTCTCCGGGCTCACATTTCACCAGCAACCGGAAACATCAAAACCATGATGTCATCATCAGGTGACACATCGACCAAATCCATCGCCATGTTGTCAACAGGTGTGTGAATCCACAAAATGGAGACTGGAGGTTTCAGAGAGGAATATAAAGACTGATCTGTAGAGAGTGATCTGTAGAGAGTGATCTGTAGAGAGTGATCTGTGAGAGTGTTTAGGATAGGACTGAAGGATCAGAGGAAATACACTAAAATAAGATAAGAAGTACTTTATTGATCCCAATTTGAGAAATGTTTGCGTTGCAGCATCAAAAGTCATGGCATTATACACTACAAATTATAAGACTAGAAATAAACAATCCAAAATGTAAACATCTCAATAGAAATAAAATAGCATTTACATTTTTTTATATATATATACATTGAATTACAAATGTCCGGTAACAAAATATAAAGCAGGATATGATAAATACATCAGTATGTGAGGAATGGAATATTAAATATTAGATTGAATATAAATGTAAAATGTACGGTGTGATTTATATCTTATAAAGAAGCAATCAAATCCTTTCAGAACAAACCAAAGTGCTGGTGTACGTTGTTAGAAAGTGTGTTTCTCCATGTGACTCAGAGACAGCTCTCTCTCAGCATTCTGACTGAGGAACCTGTCGCTCCTCACCTGGTTATAAACTGATTGTGTTTGTTTTGGGTCATTGCATGTTTCTCTGTGCCAAGCAGCTTTTGCCTAACCCGTTCTCCAGCAGCTGGAAAGTCCCTGCTCTCCTTCCCTTTCTGTCTGGTGACTCAGCCGGGCTGTTCTGCTCCAGATATCTCATGTTGTATTTACTGTCTCTGAAACACAGCAACACGTGCAGACAGACTCATTACAGGAGGGTACAAGAGGCTTTGAGATGAGCTTCCTGCAACCTGAGACTCTGAGGCAGCAGGAACACAGACCACTCCTTTGCTTTGCAGCCTCGCTTCCTCACCTCGTCTCCTTTGCTTTGCAGCCTCGCTTCCTCACCTCGTCTCCTTTGCTTTGCAGCGTCGTTTCCTCACCTCGTCTCCTTTGCTTTGCAGCCTCGCTTCCTCACCTCGTCTCCTTTGCTTTGCAGCGTCGCTTCCTCACCTCGTCTCCTTTGCTTTGCAGCCTCGCTTCCTCACCTCGTCTCCTTTGCTTTGCAGCGTCGCTTCCTCACCTCGACTCCTTTGCTTTGCAGCGTCGCTTCCTCACCTCGACTCCTTTGCTTTGCAGCGTCGCTTCCTCACCTCGACTCCTTTGCTTTGCAGCCTCGCTTCCTCACCTCGTCTCCTTTAGTTGAACAATGAGTTCAAACAGACAGGAAACATGCTGTAACAACTATTAGAAAAGGATTCAAAAGTGCCATTAATCATCTGCACAAATACATGCAGTATATTTGACCTTCTTCACTTACAACCCACTACAGTTCAGTACTTCTACTTTTACTAAGTACAAGATCTGAGTACTTCTACTTTTACTAAGTACAAGAGTACTGTGTGTGTGTGTGTGTGTGTGTGTGTGTGTGTGTGTGTGTGTGTGTGTGTATGTGTGTGTGTGTGTGTGTGTGTGTGTGTGTGTGTGTGTACTTCTCCCAGAATAAAAACAGAATACTGTTTGTTGCTGCTTCCCTCCAGGATCAATAAATCTCTTATCTTGATTGAACTGTGGTTGTATAAAACTTGAAGGTATTTGTATTGATCAGGTATTTGTATTTGTATTGATCAGGTATTTGTATTGATCAGGTATTTGTATTGATCAGGTATGTGTATTGATCAGGTATTTGTATTGATCAGGTATGTGTATTGATCAGGTATGTGTATTGATCAGGTATGTGTATTGATCAGGTATTTGTATTGATCAGGTAGTATTTGTATTGATCAGGTAGATGTTGATGCTGTTCTCTCTTCAGGTGAACCCCCGCTGTCTCTCTGTGACTCCCCTCATTTCCCCTGAGAGTGACAGAGCACTATTTATTTCCTGCTGCGCAGTTCACAGCCTGAGTCTGAGCAACAGCTCCCCTGCTGGTTGAGTTCGGAACTGTTCCCAGCAGTCACGTGATTTCCTGTAAACAGTCCCACCAGCAGGAGGTGAAAAACATCCATGGGTGAAACCACTGCTCCTGAGCGCCATCTAGTGGGAACAACTGGAACTTAAACAACAAAGACGTGTGCAGATCTTGATGTCTCCAGTGTGTGGTTCAGGTCCAGAGGAAGTGAAGCTTCATCACAGCAGGGGACAGAAGAGGGTTTTAGGGTCAGAACCAGAGCACATTCTCACAATGTTTTCACCACACTTCCTTATTTATTGATTGTAAATATTCTACTTGTCATCAGTGTGAGCCCGGACATGTTGAGACCCCAACGTTTATTGATTAGCCTGTCCTCCTCCAAAAAACGACCAAATAGGTCGATTGTTCAGCAGCTTATTACGATTAACCCTCTCTGGCAAATCCTAAATTGTAGGATAGTTTCGCCATTAAAATGCTTTTTGATTAGATTTCTAGCGAGAAGTGTATATTGTACTTTTTGTACGTCCAGTGGATGTGTAGGATCTATAGTTTGATAGATATTACGAAGATGATTTGAGGTCTCGTCAGGAGAACGTGTATATACTACGTCTTTCCCCACAGTGTCCATGTAAAGTTGGCGTCAACCCTCACGGGGTGAAAATAATTTCCGGTCTCGAAGTTTTCATAATAAAACCGGAAGTATTCCCCTCACTGTCAA